GGGCCAGTGTGCAAAAACAAAAACAAATTTTGAGCCTTAATCTCCCCCAAGTTCCCCTCCCCCATTCCCGTCCTTCTCCTTTGAATTGGGAAAGTAGAGTCAGTTAAGCAAGACTGAAGCTCCAGAAGGAGGATGGATGTTGCCTACCAAAGACCAAAGCTTGAAAGACAGATGACAGTGTTCTCAGTAACTTTGTAAGACCCACCCAATGGTACACGTCAGCTTCGTCCATCCTCTTGCCCATGTGTGTCTCCTGCATCCGCACATCGGATGTTCTTGTAGCCATGGAGACAAAGGCCAGTGACTGCCACTCTCCCCCTCCTGCACACACAGTAGCCCACAGTCTGTAGAGAGGAGAAAGACAGTCATCAGAGGCATCCATCTAAGTGTCAGTTTCTCTCCCTAAGTATGCTCTCAATTTGTTGAGAGAAAGAAGGCAGTTCAGGCCCTCCTAGAGGAGGGAGAATGAAGTCTAAGGGGGAAGGAATCCATGGTCTTTTCTTCCCTGGTGTTCCTTAAACCAACTGACAAGTGTTCTTGTTAAATCCACCCACCTACTCCCAAGGAGATAGCTACCCAGGTCCACTGGAATATGAGCCATATTGGCTTGCTTTGTCACTACCTGCAGTGCCCATGTGATTGAGAGGGCTGAGAAATACAATGCAAAGTGTTAAGTCAACAGACCATAAGAACCTGGACAACAGACCTCATTTCTATCACTCTCACCCTCACTTCTTTCTCTCCAGGAGCCCACTCTTCTGTCTGTTCCTTAAATGCACCAAGCCCATTGCCACCTCCAGGTCTTTGCCCTTGCTGTTTCCTCTACCCAGATACACTGCCCCCTAATCTGTGTGAGTCTGGCTCCTTCTCAACAAGCAGGTTCTAGATGAAATGATACCCCCTACCAATGGGCTCCCCTCTCCAGCTTATTATGCAACTTCCACCAAACCTTCAGGCATTCTCTATCATATTATATATGGTTTATTTTCTTTCTAGCTTTGAACTCCATCTTCTACTACCTTGTTTGTCTGTCTGCCCCACTATATTTTCAGCATCTGAAGAGCAGGGATCTTGCCTTCCTTGTCTGTCTCTGTATCCCCAGGGCCCAGAAAGTGCCTGTCATACAGTAAAAGCTCAATAAACATCCACTGAATATGGACACAAGGAAGATTTCACTCACTTAGATCGTTTACGTTACATATTCCTTTCAGTAACCAGGTACAACTTTAAAAGCTTAATTGTATTACTCAAATGTTCCCAGAGCATCATAAGTGGTGGATTTCAGAACTAAAAACAATCCCTTTGATTAGCTCAAAAGTTCCTGCTCTTTGGGCTTTAAAGTTTTCTTTTGAGTAAAAGCACATATTCTTTGCAAACAAACTCACTTGGAACCCCACAATATAAGACTAATAAAAATACAGGTGCTTAAACCAAAACCACAATGAAATTCCATCTCATGCCCATTAGTATAGATACTACCAAAAAAACAAAAACAGAAAATAACAAGTGTTGGCAAGGATGTGGAGAAATTGGAACTCTTGTGCACTGTTCATGGAAATGTAAAATGGTATACAGCTGCTGCATAAAGCAGTATGAAAATTAAAAATAGATTTACCAAATGATCCAGCAATCCCACTTTTGAAAACAGGATCTCCAAGAAATATTTGTACATTCCTGTTCCTAGCTAAAATGTGGAAGCAACCCAAGTGTCCATAAACAGATGAATGGATAAGCAAAATAGATATATGCATACAACTGGAATATTATTCAGTCTTCAAAAGTAAAGAAATTATGACATAGGCTACAAAATAGATGAATCTTGAGGACATTATGCTAAGTGAAATAAATTAGTCACCAAAAGACAAATACTATATATATGATTCCACATATATATGAGGTACCTAGAATAGTGAATTTCATGGAGACAAAAAGTAAAATGGTGATTTCTAATGGCTGGGAGGAGTGGGGAATGGGGACTTATGTTTAATGGGTATGGAGTTTAAGTTTGCAAGATGAAAAAAGTTCAGTGATGGATGATGGTGATGATTATACAATATATGAATGTTCTTAATACCAATGAACTGTACAATTAAAAATAATTACAATGGTTGCCTGCCCAGTGTGATTCAGTGGTTGAGTGTTGACTCATGAACCAGGAGGTCACCAGGTCAATTCCCATTCTGGGCACATGCCCAGGTTGCGGGCTCAATCCCCAGTGTGGTTGTACAGGAGGGAGCTGATCAATGATTCTCTCTCAGCGCTGATGTTTCTATCTCTCTCTCCCTCTCCTTCCCTCTCTGATATCAATAAAAGTGTATTTTTAAATAAAAACACTTATAAATGAGCTAACAAATTTAAAAGTGAAATGAATACTTAATATTGCATATCCAGAGGGCAGGAGAGGTAAAGAAGCATTTTCCCTTGAGGCATGAACTGTATTTGTCACAAGAGTGGATGTTTAGGTTACAGGTCACATGGGCCAGCCCTGAGTACCACATCCCAAGAGACATAAGTGCTTTTGTGTTCCCTGGTAAATTGGTTTTGTATGTGTTTGTAATATGAAGAGTCCTTCAGAGCATGAGGTCTAGGTCAGAATCCCTTCCTGCCTGTGTCTCAAAGTAATACCAATCTCGGTGCTTTGAAAGTTGGGATGTGTTAAGCAAATGATACCTCTTGTCTACCTCCAGGAGCACCAGTCCCAGAATGTCAACCTTATGCATGGTTTGTAGGTGTCAAGAGTTGCCATGAAAGACTCACTTATAGGCCCTGGCCAGTGAGGCTCAGTTGGTGGGTGCGGTCCTAGGCACCGAAAAGTAACCAGGGAAAGTGTGGAAAGATTGCATGCACAGAAAACCCTTCACAACAGGTCATGCAGCTGGTTTAAGAGAGAACCAGAACATTAGTTCTCCTTCATTGAGGACAACAAACAGAGCTCAAAGCACTTTCTTTAGTCACCATGCATCTTGCAGATGATGTCAGGCACCTGAGATGGTTTCACTTGGAAACACAAGGAAGTTTGCAAGGAAGAGTCACAACGTCAAGGTTCTTTCCTCAGAAGGGACCCATAAATGGAATAGCTTTTCTAAGATTTCATGAGCTGCCCAGGATACAGACACATGACAAATGGACTGATAGGAAAGGAGGGAGAGGGTAGGTTGAAGTAACAGCAGAAAATTCCCATATAGACCAATTGCAGGACTGAGAAGGAGGGTGGATGACCCCAATGAGGGAATATTGACCCTTCCCTCAGATATACTGACCTTTGGCTTCCTCTGTCACTGAAATAGTAGAGTAGCTCAGCTTATACTAAACAAACATGCTGTGCAAGCACATATCACAGGATGTGGTAAGAGGAGCATTTACAGAAAGATGAAGGGTATTTGGTATTTCTGTAAGGCAAGAAACTATGGATGCTCTAGGCACTATTATGAAATAATTATAGTAAGCACCTCATACAGGAAACACTTCATCTGAGAGATGATGCCCACAGGGCCCCAAGGGTAGTCCTGAAGCATAGTTAGTGCTCACTAAGCATTGGTTCCTGTTGTTCTTGGGCTGGAAGACCTGAGGCTAAGGAGCACATGTAGAGTATCACAGCCTGGTCTCTTGTTTATGCCAAGCTAAGTAACAAAGAGAGCTCATCTGATTCTTAAATGTCACCAATCATACTTGGGGGCCTGGAAGGGTGGGGTTGGAGGTATAAAGACTCAGGAAGTACACAAACACACTTACAAAATGTTTCCTACATTGGGGAAGTCAAGAAATGGCAGTAAGTATATTGTGAAATCAGACATTTGTTCCTTCATTTATTCTTTCACTGAATAAGCAAATATTCCGTGCAATGTAAGACACCTCTGTATACCACTTCCATTCTTTCACCTCATCTCCTACTCTGGCCACCACCTCAGCAAGTTCTGCACAGACTTTGTCCAGCTCCATGTAGATATCATCTGACGGCACTTTACTTTGGCCATCATGCATAGCCCTCTTTTCCTGTATCAGAGATTCTCTGATGCTGAGATGTAGAATGCCTACAGGAATCTGCTCAATACTCGGGCATGTACAACCTGGAAGTACTGAACAAGCACTCATGACTAAAGTGGAGGGCATTACAGCGAAGGAGGAAATCTGTGACTTGTCCTGTGGATGTCAGCCAGCCTCTGCCCTCAGCCACAACAGTGCTGAATGCAATGAGCTTGTGCAGAGACACTTTAGTGACAAGGATGGAGGCTACACGTGGTACCAACAGCATGGGATTTCTCTCATCAAGGCCAACTTAACTATTGCCACTACTGAATGTCTAACCTTACAGCAGCAGAGATGTCAAGTCTCAATATGGCCCCTCCCTCAAGGGCAGACATATTGAGTATCTTGAGAAAACAATCCTGCAAGAGAGAACAATCCAACCTCAGTGCCTTTGCCAGCTGGTAAGATTTACAGACAGCATGGTGTTTGCACAACACTGCCTCAGGCAAAATGTTCCATTTCATAGCAAATGAGATGAGTCAGTGGGCATATGGGATCCACTGGTATGACTATATACTTAATCACCCAGAAGCAGCCAAACCAAGAAAATGGTGTGGTATGAATAATTTAGCTAAGACAACAAACTTCAGGATTGAGACTCTCCACAATGCAATATATGCAGTAAACTAAAAGCCGATAGATGATGCCATGGCCCCAGTAACTAGAACATATAGGAACCAAGGAATTAATGTAGGATTGGTCCCTCTCTCCATGATTCTCCTTGATCTATTTGTGGTTCCCATCCCTGCAACATTAGGCTTTGCTGGATTAAGTTGGAGTAGGCTCTGCTAGGTTCCTGGGAAGGATGGGGACAATGATGATGCACGAGTATAGGGTTCCACTTAACCTGAAAGAACTAATAAAACCATCTGAAGGAGGCTTTCTAATGGATTTGACAAAACCAAGGCACAAACATATGGGAGGGAAGCAAGGGATGGACTGTATCATTCATATCTTTTGACCCTACCCCTTACCTCATCCACATGTTCAGTCATCACTCTTTTAGATTTACATAAGCTTCGTGAAAGTGTCTTGCTTCAGCCTGTACTTCATAACCCTAACTTCCTGTGTGGGGCTCCTCTGATCCTGTGATGTGGAACACCTGCAAGAACACAACACACACGCATGAGCAAACCAGAAGTGCGAGGAAATTATACCTGTGACCCACCATTGGTCAATGAAGGGTTGCTCCCATCATCTATTACTGTGTAACCAACCACCCAAAGCCGAATGGTATAAAATACAACTATTTTATTCTACTCACAAATTCTATGAGACAGAAATCCATACAGGGCACAGTAGGGATGGCTTGTCTCTGCTCCATGATGCCTGGGGTCTCACTGGGAAAACACAGGTGGCAATGAGTGACTCCAACGGATGGGGAATCACCTAGAACAGCACTGTCCAATATAAATATAATGCAGTCATATATGTAACATGAATTTCCTCATAGCCATATTAAAAAAGTAAAAAGAAACACATGAAATCAATTTTAATAATATATTTTCTCTAACACAATATATCCAAAATTTTATCATTTACGCATGTATTCAATATAAAAAAGAGACATGTTAACAATTTGATTTGGGGGGGAGGGTGGAGGGAGTACTAAATCTTTCAAACCAGGATGTAGTTTGTGCCTTCAGAACATCTTAATTTAGATTAGCCTCATTTATTTCTTTTCTATTTTAAGTATACTTTTTATTTTGAATTAATTGTAGATTCACATTTAGTTGTAAGAAATAAAAATAGACATGATACCGAGAGCACAGACAACTGAAGCAAAAATAAACACATGAGACTACTATGATATATAAAACTTTTGTACATTAAAGGACACAGTCAACAGAGTGACAAGGCAACCAGTAGAATGGGGAAAATTTACAAATCATATATCTGGTCATTTTTTTTGGGGGGTGTCTATTTTCTGTTATTCATATTGGGTGATTTCTATTGTTCTGTTTCTATTTTCTCTGTACCCACCCATTGAACATTTTATTTTGGTTATGGTATTTTCCAGTTGTATGATTTCCATTTAGTTCTTCTTTATATCTTCTACTTCTCACTTTCTATTTCTTTACTGAGGCTTTCTATTTTTTCATTTGTTTAAAGAGTTAGACTAGCCCCATTTAAAGTGCTCAGTAACCACATATGGCCTGTAGTTATATTAAGAAATACTATATAGTTCTAGAGGCTTCCTCACTCCTCTGCCTGGAACCTAGGCTGGGATGACCTAAAGGCTACACTCATGTGGGACTGTCTATCAGAACACCTGCATGTGGTTTGGGCTTCCTCACAGCATGGCAGTCTCAAGCTAGTAAGTCTTCTTACTGGTAGCTTAGAGTTCCAAGAGTGAGTGAGTATCCCAGTGATGAAGGTTTCAGCTCCATGGCTTTTTCCAACCTAGCCTCAGCGGTCACATGATTGAACAATAGTCACTAGCCTTCTCTGTTTCAAAAGAAAATATAGACCCTACTGTTTGATGAGAAGGGAGGGGGTCATAATGGCCCCATTTTCTAAATGCCACAGAGATGAAAACCAAGAGATAAATGCTTCGTCTCTCTCTTTCCCCAGGCAAAATATTCTGAGATGCATTCATAAGGCTTCTCAAAAATCTCAATAGAATCAAGAACTAATCCCCACAGCTGGCTGAGTTCCTCACTCCTGCTCCTAAGAATACTTCCCAATTTACCTAGTGCTCATGTTCTGCTTTCAGGGGAACCTAGACTAAGACCCTACCATATGCTAGTCCAGCTGTGGGCAAACTACGGCCCGCGGGCCGGATCCGGCCCGTTTGAAATGAATAAAACTAAAAAAAAAAAAAAAGACCGTACCCTTTTATGTAATGATGTTTACTTTGAATTTATATTATTTCACACAAACACTCCATCCATGCTTTTGTTCCAGCCCTCCGGTCCAGTTTAAGAACCCATCGTGGCCCTCGAGTCAAAAAGTTTGCCCACCCCTGTGCTAGTCACCAGGGAAACCACAGTAAACAAAGACGCAAAAATCCCTGCTCTCATGGAGTTATGTTCTAGAAGATACAAATATTAAAAGATTGTGAAGTAAAACATGTAGTATGTTAAGTACACAGGAGAAAAAGAAAGAAACTTGGGCAGGGGGAGATTATAATTTTAGAGGTCACAGAAAGATTTAATAAAAAGATAACTTTAGAGGAGGTTAGGGATAAAGTAATACAGATATTTGATGGAAGAGTGGTCAAGCAGAGGGAACAGAAATCTGGGTCAGCCTGCATAACTGAAGCAGAGTGAGTGAGGGGGAGTAGTAGGACATGAAAACAGAGAGCCAACAGGGGCCAGATCACATAGGAGCTTATAATAGAGAACAAACAGGGATCAGATCACACAGGGGCTTGTAATTCAGTATAAGAATCGGGCTTTACACTGAGTGGAATTAAAAAGCCATTTGAGTTCCACCCAATGTGGCTCAGTGGCTGAGTGTTGACCTATGAACCAGGAGGTCATGGTTAGATTCCCTGTAAGGGTATAAACCTGGGTTTCATGTTCAATTCCGGAGGGGAGGGGGCGTGCAGGAGGCAGCCAATCAGTTATTCTCTCTCATCATTGATGGTTCTATCTCTCTCCCTTTCCCTTCCTCTCTGAAATCAATAAAAATACATATTTTTTAAAAAGCCATTGAAGGGTTTCAAACAGGATTGAATTGATCTAACTTCCTTTTTAACAAAGTCACTATGGCTGCAACGTGCAGAATGAACTAAAGAGGGGCAAGGACAGAATCTCAGTGAGAGACAGGATGGCTTGGACCAGGTGGAGAGAGTAGAGTTGGTAAGGAATAAGATGCTGGACATATTTCCCAAAGAAAAGCCAACATATTTGTTAATGGAATTGGATGTGGGATATGAAACAAAGAGAGGAGTTCAGGGTAAATATTCTAGGTGAGGAGTCACAAAACCAGGTTTACACATTAGAGCAGCAGTTCTCAACCTATGGGTCTCGACCCCTTTGGGGGTCGAATGACCCTTTCACAGAGGTCGCCTAAATACATTCTGCAAATCAGATATTTACATTATGATTCATAACAGTAGCAAAATTACATTTATGAAGGAGCAACAAAAATAATATTATGATTCTTCACAACATGAGAAACTAACTGCATTAAAGATTCGGGGCATTAGGAAGGTTAAAAAACATTGCGTTAGAGCATTCCTTCTAGTGATCACCCCTGATAATAGGCTCTTGGTGCACTTGAACGTAGTTAATTCCTGAGGGAAAAACTCTGATTTAGAAGATTAACCAAATCTCCTAAGGAAGGATCTTTAATAAAATATGGTCACTCCTGTTGACTGTAAACAAAAAGTCAACTAGGTATTCTTTCTGCAAAAAGGAGTTGGGAAAAAGTAAAGATTGCACTCTAATATATACATACATGACCTTTACAAAGAGAAAGTAAGGAGTTCCTTTACAGAGAGAAAGGGGAAGTTAAGGGGCGAGGCTGTTTTAACCTCAGAGCTCAGTAAATCGTTAACATTCTTCCTATAGGGCTTTCATGATCCGCATAGGACTCAGTGATAGCAAACCTTTTGAGCTCGGCGTGTCAGCATTTTGAAAAACCCTAACTTAACTCTGGTGCCGTGTCACATATAGAAATTTTTTGATATTTGCAACCATAGTAAAACAAAGATTTATATTTTTGATATTCATTTTATATATTTAAATGCCATTTAACAAAGAAAAATCAACCAAAAAAATGAGTTCGCATGTCACCTCTGACACCCGTGTCATAGATTCGCCTTCACTGGCATAGGATGTGATTCCTATCTTGGCTAAGGTCCTTGTCGCCAATTTTGATACTCTTGCCTATATCCATTGGGCAGAAGGGAAAGCCCCAAATCATTGTTCCCCCAACTTCCTATTGCATTCCCAGGCTTGTTCCCTTTCTTAGAAATATCTGTTGTTGATTGTATAGCCAAAGAATAGCATTCTTCTGCCCTGTGACGTCCTGATCCTCCTCTTATAAATTCAAAGGCTGAGCTGGGTCCAGAGAATCAGGGAGCAAAGAGCCCAGGATCCTCAGGCCAGCACTGTCTGCACACTGGGGAGATGAAGGTCTCTGCAGCTGCTCTCTCCTTCCTCATCCTTGCTGCTACCCTTGGATCCCCTGCCCATGGATCCCTGGCCCATGAATCCTGGGATGATGGTGAGTTCCATGAGCCTTCTCACTGGGGACCAACTGAACGGTAACTTGCAGTTAGGGAGGACACAGAGGGACACTCTCCTGCAACATAGAGATGAATCTGGCACTTGTTTAAAAGCAGTAGCAGTAGCTATAGACCTTTTTCTGCAGCTTTTGGTCCTTGGGAAAAACCACATACAGAAGATTGGTTCCACTTGGGGAAACAATTCTCTCCCTTTTCATGGCCAGAATTATTTGATACTTTCTCTTAGCTGATATAGGACTATATGTAGAAGATCAAAAGAACTGTACTAAAATTATAAATCTGGAGAAAGAAGCATAGAACCCTACGTTAGAACCATTATATACCATGTGGAGTGAAACTATCATTTTGAAGAAGAAATGAGACAATCTCACCTAAGTCCACCTCATGATTCTATATTTAAAAACTAGTATCTAGCACTGTCTATGTACAAACAGGCACTGCTCTAATTGTATAATTGTCTTATAGATATTAATACATTGAATCATCAGGATTTTAGAGATGCTTAGGTGGGGCATGGCCAAACAAAGGTTGGAAACCACTGGTCTAGATGTATTTTGGAATGCAGAATCTTTCAGGTTTTACAAAGGTAATATTGCCCTGGCTGGTTTTCTCAATGGTTAGAGCATCGGCCCTCGGACAGAAGGGTCACGAGTTCGATTCCCAGTCTAGTGGATGGAGTTAGACTGAGAAATGGGTAGGAAGAGATACTTAGAAACTGCTGTCTCCCACTGACTTCTCTTTCCTTCTGTTTCTCCCAAACAGAACCAAGCATCGTGATGCATCAGTTGGATCCCAGAGGACCCTCTCTTGGTAAGTGAGCCTGGCCAGTCTAAGTCAGCAGTTGGGCATTGACCCAGAAACCATAAAGTCACTGGTTCAATACTGGGTCAGGGCACATGCCCAGGTTGCAAACTAAATCCCCAGTAGGAGCTGTGCAGACTCTCTTTCATGTTTCTATCTCCCTATCCCTCTTCCTTCCTCTCCTTCTAAAAATCAATGAAAATACTGATGTGTTTTTTTAAAGAAGGTAAATGTTTAGTTGTGGCATATATTTAAAAGTGGCTGGTGGGTACAGATCTGCTCAGTGGCTTCATTCTCCTTGTTTAGAGGACATGGGGAAAGAGAAAGGGTGCTGAGGAT